TGGTTGGCTACGCTAGGGACCATGGCGCCTTAGGATGCAAACCATCATCCTGTGCCGTGGTCCTGACGCACGGTATGGCTAGACTGGACAAGTATCTAGGGCTCTAGGTATGGCTAGCCGGTGAGGGTTCCGGCTCACAAGTTGTCGGGGCGGGTCGCGCTCCCAGTGTCTCTTACGCTCGTTTGTTTACACGTGCCGCCATAGGCCAGCTGCGCTGCGAGTAAAGGCACCGTACGGTACCGTACTACTACTCCAATAGAGCGAGCGCACCCAATCTACAGTGGAGGATTCTCTCGGTAATCTGCCAAAATGCATTCGAATTATTTTCATCCGAATCAACAGATGCCTGATGGGTGGGTAACTTGCACTAGAACCAGTCTGAATGAGGTAGGCATAGGCAAAAATAAACATGACATGACATTTCGCCAAAAGAAGTCCTGGCTACGCGCGGAGGCAGGGGGGGGGGGGTAAGCAAGGATAAGGAAAGTGTCAGGGAGTGACGGTGAGGACGGGGACATGTAGGGGAAAACCCGCTCTTCGGTAGCGAGTGTGTGGTAAACAAAACTCACCTCCATTTGTTGATGCCAACGTTGGAAGAGCCCGCGAACCACGGATCCAGAAAGTAGATGCAACGTAGGGTGGTGGCGCCCTTGAGGCCGTGCCGCAGGCTGGGGTTGTCGTGCAGGCGGAGGCCCTTGCGGAACCAGTGCACGCTGTGCTTGGTGCGCGGGGCCGCGGCGGAGGCGGTGGCGGCAGACAGGGCCGGCGAAGGGCGAATCGACGTGGCGGCCGACCCCGCCGACGGGGACGTGATGAACTCCGACTCCGACTCCGACGAACACATCGTGATCACCTGTTGATCCTCCCGCTACGGCGGCGCATCTTGATCCGCGACACACTCGGGCACAGCGACGCCACGCCGCACGAATATCTTCCCAGATTTGTTGTGTCGGGCACTCGGGCGGACGACGGCGACGTCGTATCCACAAACGCACGCCCGCGCGAACGGCAGCACGACACTCGCACGCTCAACTGCACTACACAGCCGCCAGCCCCTGAAGCCTCAGGCTCGGCCCCTGCACTGGGCTGTCCGGGACGCGCCCGTGTTTTGGCCGGCGAGACGGAATACGGAACGAGCGCGCTCGACTCGAAGTTCGTACGACTGGACTACTGACTACTGCCCTGGCCCCGGTCCCGGCCCCGCGGCATCTTGCTCCGCTGACTAGCCGCGCTCCGCGCTGCATTCCCCCGCCCTGCCCCCGCCACGCGCCGCCCCTCCCGCGGCCCGCGACCACGCCGAGAACAACGTGACTGCAACGTGACTCGGCAGCTGTGGCGTCGATCCCGCGCCCCATTGGCCGAGTGCGTCACGTGAGCTCGGAGGCGGGGCGCGGCCAGTGGTGCGGCTCAGTCACGTTGCACGCCATGCTGCCATGTCGCCAGCCAACGGCCTGGTGGGGCGCGGGGCGCGAGGCGCCGGGCCCCTGCGCGAGGCTTGGGTGCGGCGCTCGCCCTCCCTGCCGCTCGCGCGGTGCCTTCCCTGGCCCTCCCGCGAAGGAGCTGCCGGCGGCCCGCCGTTCCCGCCTTCGGCGGGGCCGTGGCCATGGGTATGAGAAACCGGTGCGGCTGGCTGGCCCATTGATATCGGTAGCGTACGGGTGCAGCGCCCTAGCGCCCTTCGGTACCCGGAGCACCTTGCCAGCCCCCCACCCCCACCCCATTCCAAACTTTCTGCGGCGCCTCGACCAAAACGACTCAACGCGCGGATTCAACTTTTATACTGAAAACGAGTTCGTTGCTGTTCCCGTGACGGTCTATAACACTGGACATTCGATCTGGGCAACAAGACGCATAACTCTCCTCTCACCTCGGTTAGACAGTGTTCGGAGCCTAGAGCTGGCCAGATTCGGCACCTCCTCAGGTCCTCTCGAGGGGAGGCGGGTGTATCTACTGACGTCATTCTCATCCCTCAATCCCGTTTCGCTCTACACTGTAAACGCAATCAAACAGTAGATTTTGAAATAGTCAATTAACACAATTTCTCACTAAAGTTTAAATCGTAAATTGTAGAGGTGAGCCACAAACATTCGTTTTGCACATGTTAATTCCTTAGTACATTTTTTGCAAACATTAAAATGCAGCACGGCGTTATAACAAATTCTATACAATTACCGTACTATCGCTGCGAATGTGTACTAAGGGTCCTTCCCTTGACACACATTTATTTATCATTCGATATGAGTTATCTTGTAAAATTGTGTCTACGTATTTTATTTTTTTAAGTTTTCGGTTATGTTATTTAAGCATCTTACATCCTCCAGGCCTTCCCCTCCCTCTTTGAGAACTGAAACAATATGGGAATTCATTGACGTGAAGCCCTGGGCGTCCCACCGTCCCACTCGTTTTCCACCCCACCTCAGGTCGTGTTATATAACTTCCTGATCTCCAGCAAGGGGAGTCAGGATTCTCGTTTTTTTTGCTGAATTCCTGAGTACACTACTATTTTCATTTCGCAAATAATACTTTCTTCTTGCAGACAAGCGGAGTTATTTCGTCCTTAAATCACAGGCGCGACAAAGATCCGTCTGACCGGAGAGGGGGGGGGGGGAATTACAGGGGCGTTGAAGCACAAATTGCCTATCTTTTAGGCGTCCCACTAGAGACGACGGGAGGGATGCGCCTATACCGCGCCTGTTAAAACACCGATGGGGCGCTAAACTAAACGCCCTACGGAACGGAAGAACCACTTCCATGGGCGCAAACTAAGGAGGCAATACAAATTCCCTTAAAGGAAAAAAGGCCGTTAACCACATGACATAACTATTCCCAAACGTAGTTGCGTAAGAAACAAAAATGAAATGAACGCGTCATTCAAGGGGACATTTCGAACAAAGTGCCACCCCTCGCCGCCGATAGCCGCCCGCCCTGGACTCATTTGGCGCATTGCTCACCGCTGTCACGTGCGTCAGACAAAGAGGGCCGCCCAGCGACCACGTGGGGACCAAGTGAGGGTGGCTTGAGGGTAAGATTTGGTGAGGCGGCCGGGAGTCGGGCACAGCTGGTGGCATCCAGTGACTATCCAGAGTGGAGGGGCAGCGACCATAGACAATCGTGTGCGACAATCCTGACAACACGCAACATCTGAAGATGAATTAAATGGGCTGACATAATGCAACAACAGGACAGCCGGGTTGTGGCGTTTCGCGCAGAGAAGCTATTCCCTATGCCGTAGCACACATGCATCTGGGTTGCCTACGCCTACCCGGTGCAGTAGGGAGGCCGTGGACGTGGACAGCGCTGTGAAAGAAAGAGAGGTGAAAGAGAGAGACATAATGGGGATCTGTAGGTCTGAGAGTGAGTCGCACACACACTAGGTGCACGCCAAAGTACCACAGCAAGTTGAGCATTAATGATTTGCCAGTCTCTTCTTGCAGTGGTGTAATAAAGATACAGATATCTTATTTGCGGGGCCTTAGTAACTGCTTTAATAAAGGTTAAACACATTCGAATTTCATAACAAGCTTTTACAGTCGTGGTAAAAAAACCTGCTATCTTCACAGCACAAATAAGTAGTCTTTTTTTAAAATCACACATATAAATAAAGTGCGCAACTGGCGTGCACATGCAAGTGCTCAACACTAAGTTGCACACGTTTAAGTGTTTGACTGGATATTTGAATACTATAAAGTGCTTGAACATCAGGGTTGGCCAATAAAGCTTTGGACACTTTAAAGCTTTGGACACTTTACAGTGTTCAAATTTACTGTTGAACATTTTTAAGTATTCAAATATCCTATCAAACACTTAAAAGTGTGCAACATAGTGTTGAGAACTTGCATGTGTACGCCAGTTGCACACCTTATTTATCAGTGCAAACTTAGTTTGACTATTTCTATGTAAGTAGACTAGAATGAAGTAGAAGTAAAAAGAAAAGTAACAGATGACAAGTCATTTAAATCTGGGTGAGATAAAATCAAAGATTACTTTACAACACACATAAAATAGAACTATATTGTAGAATAGAGAGAGTGTTTCAAATTATACAACATAAAACAAATTGTATCAGAATGACAGAGTACATGTTATCAATGTTATCACTGTCATGTTATAATAAGATAATAAAACAGAACATAAAATATCACAATTAGAAGTCCAACAGAACAGGTTTAGTTTCACGGGCACATTTTACGGCTGACTGTAGTAATTTGACAAAACCTGTATCTTTAGGTTTTTCTAACCCACGCAGAAGACGATTCTTCATCACAGCAACAAACTCACGATTGCTCAGCTGACCATCCACTGCAAAAAGATAGATTAGATAATGATATACTACCCAGATATGAAAGGGATTATAACAGACTAATTAATAAACTTACAGTTTTCATCAAATATGGTGAAAACAACACTTATGATGTGATCACTGAGGTCAACATGTGCAACAGTTTTGGCAACATGCTTCAAGGTGGCTGAAAAAATAAGACAGTTCCAGAAAAAGGTACATAGTTTAAACTGAAGATTAGAATAATGTTGCAGGAGAGAATACCTTGATCAATTGAGGCACCAGCAATATGATAAAATGTGAGAGCTGTATCTACATCATTAATATTGTTAAGAAAATGGAAAAACTTCAAATAGTCATCTCGACTAACACCTGGAGAGCTATGAAACCTGTAACACAAACAATATTGAACATAAAAAAAATGAATACACAATCTCAAATTTGAAGAAAGCAAAAACTGGTACACACATTTTCTTGACACGCTTCAGTGTCTTAGTCTTTTTTTTTTGAGGGTACCCAGCATATGCAAGAAGAAGCTCCGTGAAGTCAGCCTCAGTTATATTTCCATGTTCATCAGGATTTTTGCGATGAAACTAAAAAAAGTGGGGGGAGAAAAAAATTCAAAATTAACTTGTTGTGAAAATTTAAAAAATATTGCAAAAAGAGTGAATTCTTTAAACTATTCTTACCTCCAGACTTAGAATTTCCCTTTGTAACGATTGTTGAAAATCAAGGAACCGTTCAATAGTGAGTTTCTTTGTTAGGTCAGATCCAAAGAAAAATGTCGTCAGGGCCGAGTTAACTCCCTAAATTGGAAGAATAGATCAAAATCAGAGAAAACTTAGTTTAAAACATGATAATAAAATGAACGGAGTTTTGATAAACGATGAATTTTTTCTTTTATACCTTGAATGTATTTCCAGTATTAGAATGGTCACGGTGGCGGCTTCCTATACTTGTCTGCTGCCGTATCAGTGTCGCAACTTTTTCAAATTCCTCACAGTCCACATCACCATCACCATTTAAGTCAAACATTCGAAAAGCGATTTCAAAGTGACGTCTAGATGCTGTGATTGAAATGTAAAGAAGTGAGACAAAAGAAAGTGAAGATAGAAGAAAAATTAAAGTCACACTTACTTGACAGAACAGTAAGAAGGAAAATGTAGTCTGAAAAGGTAATAAGACCTGCACTGCCTAGCTTATAAAAAATGCTGTCTTCATCCAAAGCCAACTCTAACTTGGTATGAACATCCTGTAAAATAATGTCATGTGTAAGATTTTGTAAAGGCAAATACTTAGTCAAGACTGTTTGGCAGATTTGAGATTTTGACAAAAGTTATGAACAAATTGAACAATTTATCACAATTATCTCCTAATCATGTCAATATTTTGCAAATAAATTTCTTAGCAAAACTCTCATTTCCCGGACGAGGAATATAATTTTATCTACTGTACTTTGATGATAAAAGGATTTATGGTTCCAACTAGCGCTAGACTTATAAACACTAAATCCATTATCACTGACAAGGCACTTGCAGTGGAATGTATTATTTAGCAAAACAAGACTTTGGAAATTTTTGGCAGTTCACTCAAGTAATTCACACATTCATTTACTGGGGTGGTAATACCTGCATCAAACCAAATGAAGCCTTATTAAAACTCTGAGACCTAATAAGGTATGTGAAGAAATGAAAATACACATAACTAAACTAAAAGCGATTACTGAGGGGAAAAAAAAGGCTTTTGGAAAGCATCCTACAGCATACAAGAACAAGTGCAATAGATAAATCTCAAACTTTGTACAGTTCCACAAAGTTTGTTAAATACCTCTCTAGCTTTGAAAATAAAAATAAAACTTCTTTGTAAGAAAAACTCTTGGCTCAGTTCAATATTTTAAGTTAGGTAGTACGGAAAAAAGCATCAAAGAATTCGCCTAGAAGATGTCTGCTTGTAGAAGCTATTCACTATGAATATGCTCCCTCTTGAACAATCTGAATGGGATTACATAAAATAAAAGTATGCAATCCAACACTCACAATTTCTCTCAAAAACTAAAAGAAACCTCCACACCAAAAATTGAGAGTGAAAATAAACTAAATCTTTGTCACTGGTAGTGAGATTTGGCATAAAAATTATCAATACGTGTGTCTTGGGCTGGGAGAAACAAACGGTAGACTAGAAATATTAAAACAAAATAGAAAGTGAAAGATGGGATAAAGTAAAAAGAGATTGTGTAAGTGACATGCAAATGACGCAATACATGCAAATATTTAACCCCAAGTTACTTCCCATTTGTATTAAAGTAGGAGCATGACTTTGGATACAAATAAAAGCAACACTGAAAAATAAAACAACCTGATATCATCCTAGACAGAAATAATGGTGAAAGAATACTTGTCTAAATGTTATTTTTAGCAAAACATTTGCGTGTTGCTACATTGAAAGAATTAAAACCATTTACATGGATGGGATTGGAAAATATTTGCATTGTTACTGGTCAAGGGTCAAAGTGAAAAACATCTACCAGGCACTGAGAAGGAGGAAGAAAACCAGAAATAGTATACAATAAATACCTCCGAAGGATTCTGGAAATTACAGAAAACCATTGCAACGATGGAGAAGGTGGCAGACAAAACATGAAACCGCACAACATATAATTAGTGTCAGGAGAAGCAGGATTGGTTGGGTAAAAGAAAGGCAGGGTTTGTGTGTAAAAGACTTCAGAATAAAAAATCATTAGCAGTGAATCAAGGAGAACAAAGAATACAGAAGACAGGGCATCACAGGATTTCCCACTTTCTAATAATATGAATGAGGATTCAAACACAATGTCTACAAGATCAGGGTAGGTGTAAAGATAAGTTTAGAGCACTCAGTACTCATATCATTTGACAGAGCGAAGAGGGATAAAAAGGAGCTGAAAGAGCAAAGTACACAGATGAACTACTGAGCTCAGAGGCATACATCATCCAGAAGCATATGATGCAAAATAGTTTGATAATTTGATACTTTGCATTATTGTTGGGTAAAGTTACAGTTAAAGTTCTGCTAAAAAAAGACAACATTGTAGAAAATCACTATTTTGCATCACCAGACAATTGGCATTAGAAAGAAAGCAAGAATGCACCATTATAGAGTCACAAACACAGAAAGCAAAATAACATTAAAACAAATGGAAAGTATTGAAATTTTGCCACTTCATGAGGTAAGATGAGAGAAGGCGATTTAAGCCGGTTTTATCATGTAACAAGATTTAACTCCGATCAAATTCTTTACCAAGACTTTAAATTTTATGGTACAAGTTTTCTGTATACAGGTAGATAAACCAATTTTTTTTCCAAATTTTGTTTTCTTTTTACCTTAAAATTAGTTTGCTCTCAAGGGGCATGAAATAGCAAAGTGACTTCTCTGATGGTCTCTTGAAACCTCATAGGTCAAAATATACTGCACACTAAAAGTACATATTTCTTACCTTAGGATCATATCTCTTGTATCGATCAAGTCCTAGACCTGCAGACAAAAAAAATGGGTTTAGTTTTACAAGTAATTCATTAGATTAAAAGCGTTGAGATAATGACATAAAAATAATTACGTAGATTAAAAAAAAAAAAACACACAAGAAAACAAGCAAAGCAAATTTGAAGCCCTGAGTGTGCAACCAGTGAGAGTAAAGACAACTTCCATATCTGGTGACACCAAAATTTCAAGAGGAAGAAGATATGCGCAGAAAGGATAACAAAGCCAACATTAATAAAATTGAACATAAAAACCAACGACAAAAAACATAAAAATACTTGATAGCTCTCAAACAGAAAAATGACTCGTGAATCAAGCCATTATCATAAGTACTTAGATTGATGATTTTCAGGGTAAAAAAACATTATGAAACTATAAAATACATCTCTATTGTCAAATTGAGTATAATAACATATTGATGATAGAAAGTGCTAACAATGACAGCCTACTTAAGATATACTTTTAAATATTTACCGGGAGGCTGTTTCACTCCTGGAGTCATTGAGCGAAGAAAATCATCAGGTGTCATGAATACCTCATGAGTCTGGACCCCAGAAGAAGTAACATGAGTAACTTGGAGAGTAGCGAAGTAGCGGAAAACCTTATCAGGAGTTGAGAACTGACGGATGCGATTTTCATATTCGATGATCTGTCACCCCAAAGAAAGCAAGCATACAAATTTTGGATTAATGCCCATGTTGGATGGTTAGTGTAGAAAAAGGGTGAAACAATAATGATTAGTTTCATGTCTAGAATTTTGAGGTAGATGGATAATTCATGCAGGTAAATCTGGGAATATGACATGAATGGTGCAAACATAGTGATAGTTATTGTGAAATTTTAGCATGAAGTGTGAGAAAGTAGAGGGTGGATGCAACGGCATGCAAGTTATTCGCCAAGAAACAGTGCAGGGGAATATCTCATCTAGGATGGGATTCTTCTATGAAGAGGGTCCAGTCCAACCCACAGCACATGCAAACATGCTTCAACTCGAGTGTCTAATAGAAAATCATTATTTCTTTATATACAGAAATACTGCTAAAAACTACAAAATATAAAGAAAAAGTTCAAAGCTGCAGAGAAGATTAGGAAAAGGGTACAGCTCTATTTTTCAGATTTCAGTGCAGCATGTGATCTGGAGGAGTCAGCTCTTTTCCACTTATGTATAATGATTTCCTTAAGACCTCAATTCACCTGTTTCCGTATATTAGAAACATTATTACCATCCGGCTGTCTCCATCCGGGGGTGATTGCTCGCAAGAAGTCATCTGGTGTCATGTAAATTTCAGTGCCTTCAGAACTTTGAACTTTCACTGTAGCAAAGTACCGAAATATCTTGTCTGGTGTTGAGTATGCTCGCATACGGTTCTCATATTCAATTATCTGTGGTGCAATTATTTAAATGATTTTATTAACTAAATAAGCTAGATGAGAATTTACTTTTATTACAAGGACAGCTTATAAGAACATTATACTAAAAGTAGACAAAATCCTCAGAAATGCACCTAATCATAGAACATTAATACTATATCCTACAGCTATACTCTACAAAGTAGTGAACCATGCAGCTGTTGCAAAATAAAATTTAAACAAAACAAAAACACACTGCATTTCATAAGGGAAATTCATGCGTGTCGTGCTGTCATAAAGTTCAAAATCTCTACCAGGCAGAAATCAAATGCCAATATACTTGTTTTACCATTGAGGAAAAATGACAAACACAAAGCAGTTCTTTTGCAAAAAAAAAAAAGAAGAAAATAGCTATGAAAATATAAAAATAAAACTCTTGTAACAAGTACAACAATGATTTTACATTGACAAAATAAAATTGCATCAAATGATTCAGCAAACTATTCCACAGATTTTTCTACTTTCCATTTTATAGGGAAGAAGAAAGATTATTCAGTATTGCTTCGATTGATCTAACATAGTACTTACTCTCCGTTCACGGAAACCTATAGCTTTCTTCTTTTTCTTCTTTGATTCATCTACTTCAGTTTCCTCTGCAGCAGCTTCGCCTACAAAAACTTTGCTATGCTTTTCAACATCTATAGTAGCTGCATCCACTTTGGGAGGCCAGTTTTTAAACCAGTCCTTGAACACATTTTTGAAGTATCCCTCTTCTTTATCTCCATAACCTCTGCTCATAAACAACATAAAAATGAGTCCATTAGGAATATTAGAGGAACTATGCTCCCCCAACAAAAACAATAAGATTAATATAAATAAAAAGTAAATATAGTCAATTCTCATTAGTACGATCCCCACGTACAACAATTTCCCCTTTAAAACGATTTTCCCCCGCAGTCTCATGTCATTAGTAAGCTTATTACTGCTATCTGATACTACAATTTCTCGTTAAAAAGTTGTGCACCCATCACCCCATCATTGTTGCACTAGTGGGAATTAACTGTAAATCAATAACTGAATAAATAAATTAGAAATACAACTTACGCATCATAGATGATATATCCAATAAATCCAATAATAATATAGGAAATGGTGTTAAGGAACTTGTCTGGTGGTTGAGTCTTATGCCCAAAATCTTGTTTCAGTCGGTATGACCTGGTTTGAACTTTAAATGGTTCAAAGCACGCTAATCTGTCACTTTTTTCGGAGACTCTCTTGGTACATGGCAAACGTGAGCACAGCTGAGATAACGGCCTCGCATGAATTATGGATGGAACTGACATATGTTTCAGACCATATTTTGTAACTGTAAATTGGGTCACATTCGGGGACTTTTTAAAATATTGATAAGCCCTGAGTGACATTTTACTGCATAACCTACAGAAGAAAAAATTGAAAAATGATTACAATAAACCGAGCAATAACACATGCTTCAACGAAAAGGGAAGTAATACAAGATTATTTGTGTTTAGAGCGGCCAACAAACAGTAACTGAGGTTAGAACTATCCAAACAGGCTATAAGGAGATAGCATAAAAAAAAACCTATGCAAATATTAAGGAGATCAACAAATCAGTTAAAAAGCACCTCAGGCTATCAGAGAACTCCCAGTGTAAGACAACATAACTGTGATTAAGAAACAAGTGATTAACTGCCAAAAGATTGACTAACCTTAAAGTTACAGGAAAGCATGGGGCAACTTATTCAAAAGAAAAATACACTTCCATAAACGGATAAACACTTCGACAACAAAGAAATATGGACAATTTACAGAGTTATTTCACAGACGAATGTAACCATCCAAGCAGACGGAGACAGTCAAAGACGCCATACTTGAAAACGCAAAGAAGGCAGGATTGCCACATCAGAAATTATGAAGTTCGAGAACTGAGAAAACCACAGAGATCAACCTTTGCGTCCCTACACCACCAAGTAATTATGACAATAAATTTTTTTATTTCTCTCTGTAAAGCAAATATATATGGGCCAAATAGCCAAGTTCCAAAATATGATTTTGTCATGTTCAAAAAATACATGTTGGCATTCTGAAGACGAGGGAGCAAGCCATATTTCTAAACGGCGCGCAGAAGAGTTAGCGGGCGACAATACCTTGGCGTCTGGCGTTGCAGTGCAATTGATGCAATCTCTGACAACTGACAACGAAATACAAAGTCCTACAAGCAATAAGGAGTTGTCTGGCGAGGTAAATGGCTCACGTGAAAAATGAAAGTGTCACTGAATCGTCAAAAGAGGTTAGTGAATTGTCTCAAATGTCAATAATGTAGATGAGATCTTCAACGTAAGTTTCGCCACAATGAACGATCCCCGAGCTGGCGTAGCGTAGAACTATGTACTTGCTCTGTGTCCTTTGCCTCATGGCTCTATGAGCAAGCGAATGACGAAATCAGACAAATTTTACGTAGGCGATCCTGAAAAGAAAAATATCCGCGGGGAAACGTTCATCGTGGGTCCACCCTAACATTGCTCGGCCCCTTATGAGTCACATCATGGCCATGGGATTTGCATGTTCTCTAGCGTCCACTGAACGGCACGGCACTCCAGCGTGCGGGACAAGAGTCCCAGTCCAAAATGGACGTGAAGGAGGGTAAGTCTGCCGTGTCTGGCGATTCCTGCTCCCTGATCCCTCCAGTCGTAGGCACTGTGTCGGAACGGAGCGTTCACTGGAAACCGAACATGTGAGTTCTGAAGCCAGAAATTGCCATATCCAAAAACCCTCAGCTTACGTTGCCGGCTACCAATTTTTTTAAAGTTTTCGAATCACTGACACTTTACTTTGCCCAGAAAGGAAGACGAATACAAGAAGGAGGAATCCGAAGGGACGCCCCCCGACGGCTCCAGTCAGTCGGGGTCCTCCGGGGCGCAGAGCGTTCAGCGGCTGGAGGAGGGGTGCGCACAGCTCCAGCGGCAGCTGACGGTGAGGAGAGACAGAGTCCGCGAGCGATGTCTCACAATAATCCGACAGCCTCGGGAAACAT